CCACGATCCCCGCCACCTGCGACTGCCTCTTAAACATTTCCCTCCCCAATCCAATCCTAAACCTAAGATTCCTCCCCTGCTGGTTCCCCTGCCACCGCTCCTCCGCCGTCGCCTCCGCCGTCGGCGATCCTCCGGCGGGGCTCTCCGACCTCGGGGAGTTGATCTGGAGCTCGATCTCGTGGCGATCGCCGCCGCTGGTCCCTCGCTTGAAGGAGTGTCCACGGCGAGTCACGTTGCCGGTGAATCTAGGGCTGTTGACGCTGCGGCCATCGATTTGGTCCTTGGAGGTGGCGGTGTTGGTTACGTTGTGGAGCTGGAACCCCATTAATAGCTAGGGCTAGGGTTAGGGTTCCTCGTGACGGTTAAGTTGCTCGAAATGGAATTAGGGTTTTTGAGATCGCCATTAATGGAAATCTTCTGCTCTTTTCTGGAGTCAGCTTTTTATGTAAGCGGGCGGAGGGAAGATTTTAGGAAGGAACAATTTTTCAAAATAAACCTATTTAATTTTTTTATTAAAAAAACAGATCCACTTTCGTTTTATTTCTAGAAACAGACACATTTCGTAACCATGTTAGTAGCGTGGCCACCAAATGGGTTTTTTTTTTCACCACGCCCTGATAAATATATAGGCTAAATTAGTCGGGGTTGACAACCCAGACTAATTTAGCACGCTGTCTAATTGGTCGGGGTTGGGAACTCCGACTAATTCGAAAGCCCACTATCGAAATGGTCGGGGTTCAAAACCCCGACCGTTTAGCAGCGACTTCTTGCCCAGTCGCCGAGTGGAACTGAAAATAGCTAAGGGACAATAGTTGGGGTTGTGAACCCCGACTATTTGTTACCTGGGCCCGCCTCCTATATAAAGGCGACGACTTCATCTCCTAAGCCCCCACTCGTTTCCAGCTACCGCTCTCCTCTCATTTTCGTGGTTGTCCTCCTCCCAAACTTTGTTTAAGCCACCGATCTCAGATTTCAACCTCAAATTTCGTCAGAACATAACAGTAAAAGATCTACCATGTAATTTCTCTACATTCTCTCCTATTTTAACATGTAGAAAATCTAGGTTTTTTTCTCAAAAACGAATTTCTAGGGTTTGAACTCTATTTGTAGTGGTTTATTTAAAAATTTTATTCTTGTTATAGTTGAAATTAAACATTTGAAGCATATAATACTCAATTTTAGGGTTTAGGATTTGGGGGTTACGGTTGTAGTTGGTGTTGGGTTTATGGTTGTAATTTGGGTTTAGGGTTGTAATTGATAATATTTTTTGAAATTTTTGTATTTAAATGATATAATTTTGTTTTGCATAGGTTGAATAACATGATTTTTATTTCTTGCTCTTATGGTGGAACGATTAATTATGGAATGAATAATATGTCAATGTACGTCGGAGGGGTGACAATCCCGTTAATGATATCAGAATCATATAGTTACTTTGGCTTTGTTAATGAATTGCATCGAGTTATGACAATTGACCCACGAGAGTATCGACTAAAAATAATATGCAATTGGCCGATAACTTATGATAGAATGTCCGTAGTTGAGATCTCAAACGAGCATTCGATGAGTATTTTGTTTAATTTGAGCAAGTCACAACCAACGATAGAATTGTCTATTGAAATGGTGCAACATAGTACGGGTCAAATATTCAACCATTCAGGAGAATTCTCACGTATGTTAGATTTGGGAGTTGAGTCTGAAGGCTTTCTTTCTTCTTCGAGTGGAATGGAGCGGACTCAACTTCAATATCACAGTGGTGCACCTTCATATGAAGAGGGTGAAAGAAGCGGCGCCTCTGATGGTGAAGATGAAGATAGTGCACCAATTGACAGCATGCAATTTGTGGGTGAAGATGATGAAGAGAATCCGTATTGGCCAGATGAAGCTTATGTTAATAATGAATATGTTGAGTACGAGGAACCACCCCCGGACGAGTTTGAGGATGATGAGTGGGTTCGTTCTTCCACAGTACATGATACACGCATTGGCGAAAGTTCATCTAATATAGGAGATGATGAGGAGGTCCCTTTCAGAGTTAGTGAATTATTCGAGACTAAAGACCAATTGGTTGATGCTATTCGTGATTATTCAATAAAAATGTTGGTCAAATTCAAGCAAATTAAAAGCAATCGCACAAGTTATGAGGTAATTTGTTTACGCATGTCCATGGAAGTTATATGCATTTGCCGGAAAGAAACATACTGAGTATTTTAGGATCACAAAATACCGCGGTGTTCACATATGTAACAATCCAGTGTTCGAGAGAGATCACAGTGGCGCCTCCGCCTCTTACATAGCTCGGTTGATTATGCTAAAATTAAAGAAGAAGCTTGAACTAAAGCCCGATGACATAATTGATAGAATGTCACATGATAAGTGGATTGAAATATCGTATAGCAAAACGTGGAATGCAAGGAGAATTGCAATGACAAAAATATTTGGTGATTGGGAGAAGTCTTACGTGACACTGCCTTAATATCTTGATACGATCAAAAGAAAAAATCCTGGATCTGAATACAAACTCATAGCCAAAGAGGTCAATCCGGGAGCTCATAAATTCACCTCTGTATTTTGGGTATTTGGTCCTTCGATCGAGGGATTTAAATTTTGTCAGTTGGTCATTAGCATTGATGGGATACACTTATACGGTAAATATAAGGGTGTATTGCTTGTCGCTACAGGAGTAGATACAGATGGGGGCTTATTTCCTTTGGCCTTCGCAGTTATGGAGGTCGAGAACAGTGAAAATTGAGAGTGGTTTTTTCTTGCATCCAATTATATATTTTTAATGTGTTGTCTCCAAGGAAAATTATTTTTATATCCAATAGGATGAAAGGGATTCCAAGAGCATTGTACATGAGATTTGACTCTCTTCACAATCATCGCTATTGCTTACGGCACATTAAAGCTAATTTTAAAAAGAGCTTTGGTCAGATACATTTACAAAACCTTCTTTGGCAAGCGGGTGTTACACCTGAAACGTGTGTATGATCGAATACGGGATCAAATCAAGGCAACATCTCAAGCTGCACATGAATGGATTGAGAGTAGTTTGGGAAGTGATTACGTCGACTGGTGGGCACTAAGTAAAGATGGAGGGAATCGCTATTGCATGATGACAACTAATTGTTCTGAAAGCTTCAACGGTATACTTAAGGGGGCTCGAGCAATGCCCATACATGCATTAGTTGCGAGGATATTTTATAGACTAAATCATTATTTTGTCAAGCAGCGAGAGGATGGAGCAAATTGGGGGACGTTGTTGACACTAAAAAATAAAGAGATTGTGGGAGCTCGTGTCAAGCAGGTGAGATTGACTAAGATTGTTAGATTTGCTATAGATGAATGACAGGTTACAGACAATCACGGTCATAATTACACCGTTAATTTACGAAGGACACAATGCGCATGCACATGTAACATACCACAATTGTAAAAATTGTTATGTTCACATGTGATAGCGATTACGACCAAGCAATTTGGGGGTGCAAATACATCGTATTATACATACGCTTATGAGTGGTATCAATCAAGCCACTATAGAGATTCATAAAATCAATGTTTTCATCCCATTGTAGATAGTCATTACTAGCCACCATACAATGGGCCACATGTGTTACCTCCTGAATATAAGAGACAAGCCGGACACCCGAGATCAACATGCATAAAAGGTACGATGAATGAAGGTCAGGAAGGAGTTCAAAAAAAATAGGTGTGGATATTACAGACAACCGGGCCACAAGAGATCTCATTGTCCCACCAATCCAAATAAATAGCAATTAATTGGTACACTTTATTTTAATTTTATTCCACTTCATTTATAAGTCAATGATTATATACGAAATCTTTACTTTTATTCTACTTTTATTTTTGCATACGTCATAGCACTAACACATTTATATCATCATATGTATAGATATGGAGGCGGGTCCATTGACGTATGAGGTCCTTTATGATCAAGAGCGACATCGATCCACGAAGATAGACTCTGGGGAGGTAAATTACATTGGTAGTTGTAAATTATATTTTCAATCATATCAATTATTTAAAGTTATTGATTGTTACTGAACATTTGCACTGTTTAATGTATACGGGCCCCTCGAGCGTGTGAGCTGGCGTTCGTTGACAAGCTGAGTTCGTGCGGGCGAACTCACTACATGCGGCCTTGACTCGTGCGGGCAAGCAAAGCATTCAGGCGAGGTCGAGCTCGTGTTGGCAAGCTCAATAACCAGGCGAGCTTGACTCGTGCTAGCAAGTCAAGCAAACAGACGAGGTTGACGAGGTTTGGCACGTGCAGGCGAGCCAAACAAACAGACGAGATTTGGTTCGTGCAGGCAAGCCAAACAAACAGGCGAGCTTGGCTTGGCCTCTTGAATGCAGACGAGCTTGACTTGTGCTGGTCAAGTCAAGCAAATAGGCGAGGTTTGATCTCCTTGATGTAAAGGCAATTTTTATTGCATACATAAATGTCTATTGATCTGTATATACCAGCAAATGTAAAATGTAAAGGGAGATAATTTTAAAAAAATCTGTGAAATACAACAACTTTGACGGAATTTCCGTGTAGATTACGTTCCGTCTAGTTTGGTAGTTAGGCCAAACTAGATGGATTTCTGTCTAGGTTGAGTCAACCTAGACGGAATATCCTAAACAGACTTTTCTAGACAGTTTTCCGTATAGTTTGGTCTAACTAGACGGAATTCTGGACAAACTAGACAGTTTTTTCGGTCTAGGTTGCCTCTTTTTCTACTAGCGTAAATGTTTAACCAAACAACCCAAACAATAAAAGTATTATCACTTAAAAAGTAGCATCAATTACACAGTGTAATACACACAAAAAATAAAAGATAACTTTACAAATCTTTTGTTGAGTTTCCATATATAGCGAGCCAAATATATTTAGAAAACATGGCTCAACTTCAGCAAAATTGTAGAACAAGTTATGAAACTAAAATCAATCTTTGGATGTTTTTACATTGCACAAAAGATATTCAACAAGAGAAAAAATATGGGACATGCAACGTAAAAGTAAGCATTAAAACATAACATTGGTGGGGTTTCATGTATTCACAACCATTATAGATAAATACATCAAAGATAAATTTACATGGATCTGCTTCTATTACATCCATGCCCCCAAGAGTTCCTCATACATTCACAAGCCATTCATGTAGGACACAAATAGCATTATTACTCATAAAATTATATTTTTCATACCCTCCATGTATAATTCCCTGATAAAGAACTACAAAAGGCGCCATTTCAGTCTTCATCCTCATGGGGCAACAATTGGGTAGGATGCACAAGTAGCCACACCTGCAAAAAATAATACATGAATCAATATATAGGACTGCTTCAAGCCATGGATGAAATTAGAAAAATTGCACATAACATCCTATTATTTTCCTTCAATAGCACTTATCACCCTTCAACTATTTTATTAACACTTATTACCACTGGATTGACATTTTGAATCGCAAATTAGAAAAATTGCACATAACATCCTATTATTTTCCTTCAATAGCACTTATCACCCTTCAACTCTTTTATTAACACTTATTACCACTGGATTGACATTTTGAATCGCAAACAATCCCTCTCCCTCATGAACTGAGGGATGATAAGTGTAACTAAAAGTACAGATGAGGAGGTAATATATGTAATTTATCCAAAAAATAAAGGTCTTCACTAAAGATTAGAGATGCTCACCACACATGTTCTTGCCAAGCTCCATCTTGAAGTATCCATTGTCACCCCATTCTGCACCCCATGAGTTCTTGATGAGCCAGTATGGAACTCCGTTCTCTACTCCATAACCAACAGCCAAAACTGCGTGGTTTACATCCTGCAAAATAATAAAAAAAGGAGTATGTTAATCTAGAACTTATCATCTTCATGCTCTAAAGGGAAAGTACGACTGAAATACTTAAACCAATCAAAAGGTCTTTTGAGTCTTTGGATTCATCTGGATTGTTTCACTGAACTGGGTTAATTGTGGATAAACCCCAGCACTATTCCCAATTGCCAAAAGACACCAAATAGTTCTACTGTTGTGAATAGACCATACCCCCCAAGTGAAATTTTTTGACTCTTTTATCTTTACGAGGTTTATTTGTCAAAAAACTATTTTTATTTGTCAAAAAACTACTTTTATTTGTCTAAAAACTACTTTATCTTTCTTTGAGGGTAAAAGAGTCAAAAAATTTCACTTAGGGGGTCTATCTGCAACAATACAACTACAGGGAGGCTATCCACAATGTGGCGATGGTACTGGGTGTGTATGTTCGCATTTACCAAATGTAAACACATAATCACTGCAAAGGTTAAAATTTGAAAGATATCTTGCCACAAGACCAGAACTTACCATTGGATCACTACCACAAGTATCACTTGAGTAAACACCACTTTTGTAGAGTCTAAAACCATTCACAACCTCAAATGCAACACTCACAGGACGAACCAATCCAACTGCATGCTTCAGCTCATCCTCAGCACCCTGTAGAAATCAGAAGTTAATATCCTTCAAAGTTCAGTTAACAACGTGGCATCTATCGCCAAATCCTAGGTTGTGTTTGGCAACCACTCAAAAACAGGGCCTGGACTAATTGAAGCCCAATTTTAACCAAAGCTAGAAATAAACCAGGAGAGGAGAGGTCTGACTTTAAATTGGTTCAAGGGTCATTGACTATTTATTGGCCTAAGGATAACCACGCAAATATTGGCTGAGTTTGCCAAATGCAATTTTTCCCAAAATAGACCAGGACCGCGGATCTATCCTGAGCCCATTTTGAGTAATTATAAAACACAGCCTTAGAAAAGAACATATTTCAAAAAATTGGTTTCTCACCAGGGTGATGTTAACTGAGTCAAGAACCTTGACTCCAACATTCTCCGGTCTAAAGTTGCAGATGCCGTTAACTGCAGCATAGGGGTAAGATTGCTCTGTGTCAAGGCCACCATTGTACTTTATGTACTCAAAAGCTTGGGAAGGGAGGCCCCCATTGCATCCAAAGTTATTGAACGCAGTAGCACAATCCACTAGTTGCTGTTCTGAAAGGGAGATGCTCTTTCCTGTTGCTTGTATGTATGCTGCCTCCAGTGCACCTGTTGTGCTGCCAGTTTGAAAAGGAGTATTGTTAGATGATACAATGTTAACTTAAAACATCCTCAATACACTTACATGTTTCTCCATACGTTTATATGTTCATTTATTTGTTATAACTTACATCAAAATTTATTGGTTTGGGTTAACTGTGGACAGAATTCCTGTGTGAATTTTTTGTCTTTTTTACCCTCAGGGAGGCTATTTGTCAAAACGAAAATTTCTCTTTCTCTGAGGGTAAAAGAGTCAAAAGTCTTCACTCAGAGGCTATCTTCAAATAAAACTAGAGGGGTCATTAGTTCAAAACAACGACATTACAAGGTGGTCTATATGTAGTTAACGCCTATTGGTTTATACTTTATAGTGGCACTCTATATATATATATATTATATATATATAATATATATATATATAGTATATATATATATATATATATATATATATATATATATAATATAATATATATATATATATATATATATAAATAATAAAAGCAGAGAGAGAGAGAGAGAGAAGGGAGAGGGAGAGAGAAGAGAGGGAGTAGGGAGAAGAGAGAGAGATATTCAATGGGTATATTGTCAATAGGAGGAAGATTTTCCTCCTTTCGCCTATGTTGCACAATCTCCACCATTCTCATCATAAAGTAGGCACAAAATCCCCACCAACTCACACTTTCCTACTTTAATGAAGGATGGTGTAAGATTGTGCCAGCATAGGCCGTCAATGAGGAAATCGCCCTCCTATGACAAGGCATACCACATTAATCTCATAATAATATATATATATATATATATATATATCATATAATATATATATATATATATATATATATATATATGAGGTTGCTCTTTGGTTGCATGAGCTTAACTTTAGTTGATCTAAACAAACTAGTCTATGCAAGGTCCTATCATGCTCATAATTGTCTTCACCATGAACATGACATATACTCAAAGTATTGATGTCTGTTGATGTCTGGATGAGATTGATAAAAAGAATAAAAAATTTTAGCCGGTTCTTTTTTGGAATGTTGACTTTCCTGGTCCATAGTCAGCCTGTAATGATGGCAGTGCTTTGGATACTAATAATGACGATGATGTAATAGAGCTACAAGAATCCTTTAAACTTCCTTCGTGAAGAGATTACACAAACAAGTGTAGTTTGAGAGAACAAGATAAAGATATCTGGGAGACTATGTTACCCGTGTACTTCTATCATGAAGCCATACCCGTACCCAACACGCACCTGACATGTTCCCGTACCCAAACTTTATGGACACTCCATGTATATATGCATTAATTTATTCAAACATGTATTCAATTATATGATATATATTTTAATTTAAAACGTTTGTTATACAATTCTCCGACGTATATCCTGCACTTCACATCGATTTCTTGAAACTTGTTAGACAAGGGGCAGATAATTTTCAGCCCACACACAAGATCAATGCTATCATCTTAAAGGGTCGTTGTTGAGTTCAAAAACGAGCAGTTTCCAACTTTTACCAATCAACATAATAAAAGAAACTTCAAAATGTGATAGGAATTTTAATTCTAATAGCACGTGAATTGAGAAATAATAATGATCTCATATAATTTATTAATTTCAAATTTTCAATATATGTATGTAGCCGCGTCCCCATGGATATATGCTATATTTTGTAGCATTACTACTCTATTTTATATCCTCGTCTTTCTGTGTTAAGAACTCTACTGCTATAACATAACTTTCTATTGAATCAGAAATCACTTGTAGATCCTCACAATTCCAATTCCAAAATACTTAGGAATGATATCATTAGATTGCACTACATATTTGGAGTCATCCTCTCACCTATCTAATGAAACTAATGTTTCAGTGACAAGAAAATAATTATTTTTAAATGCATGAATCTCAACAATATTTCGAATTACGAGTCCAAGCAACCAAATATATCCATGAACCAAGAGAAAATATGCCAAATTCCCTATAGTCCAATCCCAGAAGTACAGACAACACATGTTTGCTTAGGGAATTGGTCTAATATGTATTGCTCAACTTTAACAAACAAGCACTGTTCAGAATGATATCAGCTCTGTAATCTTATAAAAGTACTGCTTGGGGCACACATTGAACGCAATAGAGAGTTGGAGGAGTTGCCTAGACAACAATAGAACTCTAAGCCCACGCTACATAAAGGCAATGTATACTTCCATCCAAACCCAAAAGAAATAAGATAGGTTGGATATCAAAAAGGATGTAGAAACTTTTGCTTGAAAAAGATTCACATCTCCTAACTAAAAATTGGCGAGTTAAACATGGTCAGGGGGTCCAGGTAGATTCCAAACACAAAAATAATATAGTTTCGTTCACCAGAAATCACATTCCAGATGAAGCTTAAAACTAGGTTATCACATGATCAGCTAATACATTCAAATATCCACAAGCAAATTGTACGCATACAACTTAGTGTAAGCCGATAACATAATCAATATCATCTAAGTCTTTTCCAAAAAAAAGGCCTATTTACTTATAACAGAGACTCGAGAGTTGAGAAAACTCTGATTGTCTTCATTTTTGCCAAAAACTCTGATTGTCTTCATTTTTGCCAAATTCATACCACCATCCAATGAATGTGATACATTGTTTCATGGTTTAGGTTAGGCATGAAACATGGTCTGAAATCTAAATTACACATTTCAATCATCGACTAAGTGAAATATCAAAGAAAAATCAATCATTTCGGTGAAACTAAAAGTCTAAAATCACCTGAATGTCCAGCAAGACCCACACTTCCCTTGATCCTTCACTGGGCTGACTATCCCATCTTCCCTCCAGTCTTTCTGCAGGGCCAAAATCATCCAATCATAAGATCAGTACACTGAAAAGTGCAAAACATAAAATATTTTTCAAATATACCCCATACTTTTCAAATATACCCCTCTAGTTATTTTCAAACACGCCTCAATTATCAAAATTACCATTTTTTACCCTCCAAAATGTCTCATCCCTCACCCTGAGCTACGGTGTAATTACACGGGTGAGCCCAGAGTCCATGTATCTACACGGGTGACCTTGACATTACTGATTGTAATTACATGGGTGACCCTGGAATTTGACGACAAGTCAACGTTGTTTGTATTTTTATTGAATTGGAATTCTTGTTGGATGTCAATTAGGGTAAAGATCAGGTTTATAGTTTTAGTTAGGGTTAGGATTAGGGCAATAGCAAAGATTTCTGACTAAAGTTTCATTATTATAACCCGAAATCTGACATAATCTTTGTTCTATCCCCAACCATAACCCTGATCATATGATGACCCTAATACTAAGAGTCAGTAACAAATAGCAACAGAAGTTTCCCTAAAAAAATGCCGACAGATTCTAGGGTCACCCTTGTAATTACAATCCGCATAACTGTAGATTACCCGTGTAATTACACAACACCTCAAGTTACTGGAATGTAATTCTTTGCTACAGGGACCCAAAATATGGGACCAACAGAAGGGACAGTTGCCCACCTCCTATTGTATAATGAGCTAGTCATCATTAATAATGGTTAGCTCATTATGCAATAGGAGGGGGACACCTCACCTGTCATCCGCCCCCTCCTGTTTGTGCCATATTTTGGATCTTGGGGAAATTTTCATGTAATTAATCCAAAATTTAAAATATCCACAAGGCAAAGATGACACGGGATATATGCAATTATCACCCTCACAGCCATCCAAATTGCTTACTAACAAAAATCAAACGATCAAAAGCAAGCCGTACCGTCTCGAGCAGAGCTTCATTAGTCATCTTATGGTTCCCCCTCAACGTCGCGGAGCAGTTCTGGGCCGCACCCAAACGGGTCGCCTTAAACTCCTCCCAGCTTAGATCCGCATACCCTGACCCGATAACAAGATCACGACCCGAAACCCGATAACAAATCAACGGCTGAAATTAATGGATTTAAAAAAAAAACTCACGGTTGATTCCGAGCTTGTAGGAAAGCCCTTTCCTATTGGTGGATCGGATCAGATCCAAACTCTCGCTGAATATTTTGAATCTTCGATGAATCTCCTCCACCGTTTCGTATCTTTTCTCGTGCCTGATTCAAGATAAAATCCGTTTTGCTATAATTCTCTTGCTTGAATGAATAAATTCGTAAAATTCGTCTAATCAATGTCAAATTTCACAAAAAAACACCTTAAAGTTCTTGAGTGACACAAACACCCCACAACTTTCGGAAAGTTCCACAAGCTGAAACACACCCCTCGTCTACTCCCACTAAAATCTTACGAAACTTCAGGGCGGTTTTGTGAAGCTCCCAAAAGTTTCGGGAGTAATTTCTAATTTTACAAAGTTCCACTAGGTTTGTGAAATGTAGCCAAATAAAACATTTATAAAAGAAAAAGATGTATTAAAAAATACTTTAGAATTCGGTACACGATTTACAATAAATAATCTAAATTTAAAAAATTCCTAGTAAAATTCGCAAAATAAATGGAAGAAACTCTTTCATCGATTTTTTTTCTTTTTTTTTATTATTTTCAATTTTTTAACCCCCTAAGTTTACCTTCGAGCGAATCGGACGAAGTGGAGGGCATCGCGAGTCCGGCCGAGTACCTGAAGGAGGTTGTCCTCGAAGGATCCGACCCGATCGGTAACGGATCGGATCACGTTCTCCTTATCGAACTCCGACCCGGCTGCGGCCGAGGAAATGGAGACTACGGCGAGTAGGAGAACAACTGCTGCGGAGATGAGGCGAGCCATTTTGGGATTGGATTTGGATTTTGGTATTGATTCCCGTGTTTTTAGTGGACTGGGGTTTTTATCGAGGAGAGTCAGGCCTGCTGACGCACGTGATCACGTGTAAATCTATAGTTTAGGAATTGTTGAATTACTTGTGTGACCTCGTGTTTGATATATTTATTAGCGGATAATTATGCGTGATAACACTCTGTCTAGCCTACTACATAACCTAACCCCTTCTATTTAGGTTTTAAACACATCACGTTCTTAAAATCTTTCTTTAGAGAAACGAAGACGCGCTTGATCTTCTTTAATATTCGTTCTCGAGATTCATCTATTATTTGGCTTTTTTTTTGTATTTACGATTAGTAGGTGTATATACCGAGAGAAAGATAATGAGAGAAACATATGAGCAGATGTCTTATTTTAACAATAACATGTACAAGAAAAATAACGTTAGATCAATCTGTACTGGTTGCATCGGAATGAATGGACCCTTTTTTGCATTATTAGATTGTTAGTTCATATTTAGTGTCTCTTTATATTAACGCACAGGTCAGATGACGAAGTAGAAGTCTAGAGAAATTTTATGAAAAAAAGGTATTAAAAGTAATAGGTGTTACAATGTATATGGAGAGGGGATAAAAATAACAATACATAAAATTTATGAGCAAACATCTAATAATAAAGAACAAAAATATTGTGTAAATTTAATTCATTATGTTTAATGAGGCACCGATGCACCGTATAGATGATAGGGGTTGAATAAGCGCAAAAATATCTAAATATACTATTTTTACTGCATAGCAATTGTCCGTATTAATTGAGGAATTAGGCATGAAAAGGGATATTTCCGTAATTTCCATTTGCTGATATTTAGACTTGAAGCCTGAGGAGCACACGACAGAGCGCACGAAGTCGTTCTTTAGGTAAGCCGTGTACTTTTGAGAAAATTGCGTAAAAAAATCAAGGAGCAGAAGTGTGAAAACCAGGCGCAGACTTTTACATTAATTACGAGAATACCAGCCAACGTCGAGAAGTTGTTACTGAAGCTCGGAGGGTGCATACGGTAAAAAGCGATGCAAACAAACACGCTGGGCAGCCGATGATGTCTTCAAAGATTCGGTGAGATTCTGCCACCGGTGCGGGGCCCAGCTTCGGTACTTCCCGCCAAAGGGATATTTTCATGTGTCACGTAATTATTGGCAGAGGTTTAACATAAGCCTGTCGTTTTAAATGATGAGTGTTCGTTTTGTTTTCTTCTTTCCTTTTTTCTGGGGTGGGACCCACCAATTGATCCGCCAATGGTGCTGGAGCCCACGTGGACCGGTTATCGAACGTTAAAGAGTGGGCCCAGTGTTTGTTCCTTCTCCTCCTTGAAAATAAAGACGCGCAACTCATCAAGTTTTATAAAGGTTACTTTTAAAAGTGGGTGGGGGCGGGGGGACGATTTAAGGCCCAATTTATGATGTGCATTTATGATTTATCTCTCTCGGCTTGAGACGAAAGGGAAATTTTTTTTTTCCCCGGAAATGAACATGCAAAAAATAAGATTATGATATTGTCTTTACTTTTGTGGAATGATCACATATTCACGTTAAATCTTAAAATGGAATGATATATAATCCTTCACTTAGAAGTATAACGTAATCAAATTGTTGTAGCTAATTTGTCATGGAACGCTAGGAAGAGTGTGTGGTAATCAAATTGTTGAGGAAATGAATAATATGTTAGATATTTCTGGATTTTTCCCAAATGCGAATGCGCAACTTACAGCTTTTTTCTATAAGTGCGAGGGTATTTCTGTCATTCTAAAACTGTGGTTCACGCAAACCAAAATTAAGGGAAATAATTACTTATCTCACAAAATAAATTAAACTCAACTCAAAATAAAGGGTTAATTTAAAAACAAAAAAAGATGGGGGTGTTTACGCATAGTCTTCTTGAACTTTACTTATCTCACAAAAACACCCCCTGGAATTTGAGATGTCTCACAAAACCCCTCTGAAATTTGAACTTTTCTCACCGAATCCCATACTTGTTATTTGAAAACTAAAATTTTATTGAGAGAAAAAAAATGTTGAACTTTGTCATTTATCATTTACAGACAATATATCCCTTCATAAATTTTAGATTTTTTCCTTCTCATATTTTAATTATTTACATGTAGGGGTACGATGAGAAAAGTCCAAAGTTCAAAACTTTTTGTGAAACACGACAAAATTTAGAGGATTTTATTATATAAATAAAGTTTTCGGAGGTTATGTGCGACACTCCTCATAGTTAAGTGGGGTAATGTGAAAATAACCCTAAAATGAAACTACAGCACATAAAAATCTCAGCACAAAATACTATCTTCGTGTACTTTTAAGAGATGATTCCTATTTCTTAATATTCATCTGACCCTCTCAAATATTGATTTTATTCGACAGTAATCTCCAGTTTTCATAATTTATGCATTCTAAAACCTCCTAAGATTTCGTTTTACATCAATCGTAAGAATCCAAAGATCTTTAGAAAATGATCTTTCGTGATTTTCACTACCTCAATAAACAGTGTCACTCCTATTCGTTTATGTCAAAGTTGAAAGATAATTTCCTCTTATAGAAATGTTAGAGGCACACCCTTAAACCACACTCCCAACTGTTGGATGTTTTGTTCATGAAAAGGCAATTTTGCCTTTGTGAATAGTCCCACATTGGAAAATGAGATGAATAGTAAAGGGTATATAATGGTTCTCTCCTTATTAGGCTTTGAATAGTGTTTTGGGTTTTGTGGGCTTTGCATATCTACCACACATACGCGCGCGCGACACGCCCCGCACGCGTGCTACGCCGCACCGCACACATTTTTGCTTCTCAAGCTTTTATTTTTGCACGTTTTACACGTTCTGTAACGGGTGCATGCGGGTAACGGAAGCAAGACGTGTGCGTAACGGTCCCTTGGATTCAGCGGGGGTTACACTTCTCCTCACCTATATAAGGAGGCTTGGAGCTCATTCAGAAACACACAAACAAAGAGAAGAACTTCTAAGCTCTCTTCTTTCTCTACTCTTATTTCTCTAAGAAATTTCGGCTACATATTTATATTTATTTTTGGGCAACCGTTTTCGTCTGAGCATAAGCTTTGTGACTCACGCCCGAGTGCAGAGACCGGCCGATTCCGGTGGTTTTTACCGCTAGGAGAGAGGGGACAAATTGCGTCAGGGTGATAGGCGGGTCCTTAATCTTCTAGGACAGTGATATCACGACTGCTTCCGATCAAGCCTGAATTTTCTAACTCTTTAATTTGTGTTTTATATTATTATATTTTTGTTTTGACATCAATCTAGAAGATTAAGTAAAAATTCTTGATGTTAATTTAAATTAAAAAAATTTAAAAAATATTGTTGTTCATCGGGATTGCTGTTCATCGGGATTACTGTTCACCCGAATCTTCGTTACTTGTTGTATTAGTTAATTGTTTTAATTTGTTGCATCTAAATTAGTTTTTAAAAAAATATTTATTTCTTTGCTGTTTCTGCATTTGTCATTTAAGTGAACCGGTTCAAGTTTTCTTGGATTAGTTGGTGTCTAAGGCAATGTTTAAGGGTTGCGTAAAGCGTTCTGCAAGAAACGAGGTATTTAATAGATCTTTGATCAACCTCTAGTACTATCCTTACCTGGCCAAACTACCCGAGTAAAACTTTAATCTTTTCACTTTTAGAGTTTTTGGTTAAGAGCAAGTTTAATTAAGTTTCTGGTCAGCTAGTAGTATTGACAAAATCCTTTATTCGATCAGAATACATCTACTTAGACTAGTAAACTCAAATTGGACTTATGGCAATTACTGATCATTCAAAAAGTGTCAAACCTGAGAAGTTCACCGGTGTTAACTATAAACGGTGGGCTAATTAGATGAAATACCAGCTCACTACCTTAGGTCTTTTATCTGCTATTGACACTTCTGAGTCATCTACTAGTGGTTCTCAACATTTAACTCCTGATCCTGCTCAATCTGCTCCTTCCACTTCTGGTTCTGGTGCTAGCTCTTTTTTCTAGCTCTATGAAACTAGAAGAAATCAACTATCATTGTTGTCATAGGATTCTTAGTGCACTTGCGGACAAACTTTATGACATATATTATGAGTTCAAAAGTGCAAAAGACCTATGGAATACTCTTGAAGCAGAATATGGCTGACATATATTATGAGTTCAAAAGTGCAAAAGACCTATGGAATACTCTTGAAGCAGAATATGGCTATGATATGATGCCGGAATTCTGCGTTTCACCTCCTCCTCCTTCAATAAGTTCATGATGGTTGATGACAAACCCATTAATGAACAAATTCATGAATTCCTAGATTTCCTCCGTCATCTCCAATCAAAAGGAAACACTTTTACTGACGATTATAAAGTTTCCTGTTTGATTGATAAACTTTCTCCCTCCTGGTCTAGATTTGCTGGAGATCTCCGACACAAGCAAGGAGATCTAACCTTAACTGAAGCCCTCAAGGCTATTCGTATTGAAGACGAGCATAGGCAAAATTCCAACACCAAGAATGAAACAAAAGCTAAAGTAAACTTGGTAGAGAATAAGCCTAAATCTAAGAATTTCAAACCCAAAGGGAAGAAATTCAAGAAAAATCAATAATCTTTTAACAAATCTTCCTTCAAACCAAATCCCAATTCTTCCAGCCATAAGTCTGATAAGAAGTTTTGCTTTGTCTGTGGTAGAACCAACCACATGGCTCACAACTGTTTCTTTCGGAAGAAGGAACCGGCCAAACCTGCCCCTAAAGGAAATGGATCCAACAAAGTTAATATGATTGAAATGAATCCAACCTCCTTCAGGTTAGCCTGTTCATCTCATCTTATAAATTCTCTAACTTCTTCCACTGATTGGTATTTGGATTCCGGAGCAAATATCCACGTCTGTAATGACCGCTCTTGGTTTTTAAATTATCAGGAATCACGTGGAGGAAGCATAAGCTTAGCAGATGACTCCACTAAATCAATAATAGGAAGTTATCAGGAATCACGTGGAGGAAGCATAAGCTTAGCAGATGACTCCACTAAA